AATACATGATGAAAATTCATAGCTTTATACAACCGATTGCATATAACGAAGTTTCATCCTCGTAATATCCTTAAAAACCCTAACTCTTCTAGTTTTCACTTGGTCTAATATGGCAACTAAGATTACTTGAAATACTAGTTTAGACAATTTGTACAAAATATATGTCGTAAGTTACAAGAAGGGCACCACTCGACTCGAGGAACTAAAAAGTAGATAGCCCACTAAAGAACAGAAAATGAGGTACGGTATATACACGATTACACGTAGGCTGGAAGCAAATTTCACTGAGAGAATCATGTACCGCAAATAGACACGTTCACAAGACAACAAAACAAAAGAAAAATATATACATGACATGAACAATTGAACATGAGAGAGAGGGACACAGTATCTAAGTACAATGGACTTGATGGAAACAAATCTTTCCCGATCGGACTGCTTGAAATGGACCATTGGATTCTATCGTACATTGATTGATACTCCCCTATAAACTGACTACTCTTATATCCAATAGATTGACTGGCAGGCTTTGGGAGCAAATTCCACAACAAACATCTGAATCTGATTCAATCCATTCAGTCTCCACCATGTAAAATTTACTTTGCCTTGGAAGATCTATAAACTCCATGAATGGTGGGTGGGTTCATACAACAAGGATTGGTGAGAATTTTGCAAATGTCATCCTCGCATGCTAAATCTTGTCATTAATGCAATGTGGACTTTACATGCATTAACAGTGAGATTAATTTACCTACAAGCACGTGGATGATTGACCGTAATATATCTCAAGATTGAAATTGAGAATCATTCAATTCAATGCATGATCTCATTCATTCTAATGGGGTTGTTGGAGAACTAAATGGATATAGCTCATACGGACATTGTAATTTAAGCGGTCATGAAAGTCGATCATTCAATGAAAATTTTGGGTGGAGATTTTATTATCTTTCTTGATTTTTCAGGTGAATATTGAAAATCATACATGTCATCTCACAGGCCAGCTAGAAAGATACGAGGGGGTCCATTTCATTGAAGAATATACTCTCCATGCCGGGCTCTTAATTAATTATCACTGTTGAGTAAAGCACCATCATCAGCAGACAGTATCATGGTACGGGATCTATGAGAAAATTGCTCATGTGGGTTTGTTTTGTCAAACTTGTACTTTGAAGATTATTTTCCTCCTTCATCACGTAAGTATCTATACAATTAGCCACCACTACACGATTGTGTATATTCACATGCGATGATCAGTTTTATCATGTTGTTAGACTGTGAATCTAATGAAATATTAATATTATCATGTTGTTAAACTCACAGTCTAACAAAGTAAGCATCTTCTATTGCAAAACTATCCGGCAAGTGCAACAAACCAGTACTACTTTGTCGTGACAACTTTTCATCATCACCTTGTGTACCTATACATATACATCGATCGATGAGCTGTCCTGCTTAAAGTTCATGGTTCATGCACGTACGTATATGATTGAGTATAGTACGTGGGAAAGAGCAATGGAAATTGTGTATATGACAAGAGATTTTGGCGGGGTTGGTGTGCATAAGCCATGGTTTTTTGTTTCTTTTGGACCACGTGATCTTGTGTGCCAATTGACTTAGATCCCCATAAAGATTTGCAGTATCTTAGATAGTCCCCCCCACGAGGCCTATATTCATGTTTGTCTGCAAATCCTCTCTCTCTCTCTCTCTCTCTCTCTCTCTCTGTGTGTGAGTGTGTAGATGTTGAAGAAGCGTATAGGATCCACAAACTCGACGTCTGCATTGCCATTTCGTTGTTAGAACGGATAGGCAAAATCTTGAGATCCTCTCGAAGTCCACAATTTGACAAAATGAGTCCAGATTCATATCTGCTGGACAACCAAATATTTATATTAATGTTTTGGTGAAATATGATTGTCACCAACGCTAATTGTTATATATAACTGGATCCGTCAAAGTCATCATATGGTTCATGGTCCATGACTTGACCTTGGTCGATTGAGTTTCATGAGCTACTCGATATTGATATTGACTCCAGAGTCACCTCATTTCATGCTTAGAAGCTCACCCATGTACACTAATACTATGCTTAACTTTAGTGTGTGTGTATATATATATATATATATATCAATTCAACTTAAAACACAACTTAAAACAGAAGGACCACATATATGAACAACACAAAAGACAGGATCATCCACGTTCGCATGTGTAAGAGAGAAAGGTAACGCATATTTCATAAGAAGAGGCCTCTGTTGTTGAGGATAAATTTCGAACATCATATCATTTTTTGAGAGAAACATAAGACGGTAAATTACAAAACCAAAATCAATATATATAAAAAGTAGACAAAGAACCCTATTAACTTCCTGGAATGTTCTATAACCACACGACAATCACTCAACATAATTAAAAATTGGAATGTTCTTTTTTTTTTTTTTGGTCTGAACCATGAGGTGGTCCTGGATGGGCCCCAACTATGGGTGGCACCTTTAAGCCTTAACCACAACCCAGACTAATCCCCACTCACACCGGGTCGGCCCGTAACTTGGTTAAATTGGAATGTTCTTTGTTCAATCTCTTCCATCTTATAAGCTCGGGTACTCATTATTATTTAAACAATATATATCGTTAATTGAGATTCTAAGTTTTACGTCTTTAAAATGCCCAATAGATCGTCATTTCGGCATTTTCTAGGTTTTATATAACATTTTTTCGCCTAGAGGCTATAGGCTCCAAAAAAAAAAAAGAATATAATAATACAGCCAACCCTTTCTGCCTTTTATTTTCCCGATATATATCGTCCCTTTTGTTAGGTAGAAGACCTAACTATCACTGTTCATGCATGTGGGAATGTATGCTTAGTTGTTTTCATGAAGTTTGTTGATTTTGTATATATTATTTATCCCTCACCACAGTAACCTAATTTAGCTTGACAACCTATCAACTTATGTACACATCCTATTCGCTTAATTTAGTTAGTCATTTAATAATTTTCTTCTATGTGAACGTCTGAATGTTATCATCGTGCAGATGATATATACATATTCTTGCTTTTCTTCCCGTTTACAATAACATTCACACGACAATAATATCCGGACATCCGCATAAAAAAAAATAATATTATATATCGATAAAATATGAATGCATGGGTCATATGCATATGGACCAGAATATGGTGGAAGGTCTTGCCATCCGATAGCTCCTCCTACCTGTGAGATCTATAGGTCAAAGATTTATCTGTTGAATTTGAATGGGTATATTTGTTATAGTCCAACACACATTATTATTCCAATCAAAATCTTTGCTTGCGACATGGCCATATCTTTGGCTATATATATAAGTTTAAGTTCCATGACCTTGTAAGTGTACAACCTGACCTAAAAAAACAACTGTCCAAGTACAATATTTATACAATATTAATAAATTACTATATGGTTCATTCTTTTATATATAATAATGTGTGTGTGTGTATATATATCAATATGTTTCTGTTGCAAAGCATCAATTTTTTAAACTTGAAGTAAACAGGCAGAGCCAAGTTTTGGTGAATTAATACACTAGATTCTCCCGTGTGCATGGCATGCAGTTGTTTTCTTGCTATTTTTTTAATGAATGCATGCAAGACGCTGCAATTTTTCGTGATTTTTTTAATTTTGATATTTTCTATTGAAATGAGCGATAACATACTAAACTCACACACACTACACGGATATCATGACTCGAACCTAGGACCTTTTTTGGAGAAACAATTGCGCCAACATATATATGTTATAGAAGTGGAACTTATTTTATTATGCCAAGTTACACGAATGGTTAAAAATTGAAGCTGGTTCCGAAAATAGTATGAAAACGTTTTTGGATTGGCTTTGTTCTCTTCTGAGTGTACATGTATGTAATTATGCCATTGAAACACAAACAGAAACACTATGGCTGCTTATAATTATAGCCCTATTTGACTTTTACCCATCACTTGTAGCTCTAGATACACACAAACAAATCTTACATTGAAGAAAATTTGTGATTTTGTCTCCCACATTTTTTTGGTGACATATTAAATCCATGAATCTCAATATAATCTAACGATTGGCTTAAATCGTGAAACTCCTCTCTATACCTAGAAAGGAAAATCTAAAACCAGATCCTTTTGATGATTCTCAAATTTGACAACCGCCCATGCTTAAATAATAAAAAAACAAAAAAACAGAGACCTTCTAAATAAACAAATAACTATAAAAATTGACCAAACTTGACATATCTTGACCTGAGATCAGAATCCAACGGCCGAAACGCATCGAGTTTGGTCTTCATACTGGCCCACATATGAAGAAATCTGAACCCTCCAAATGGCCCACAAGATTAATGGAATTAGAAATCTGTGGGTGCCAAGGAATCTTCATCGAACATCATGATTTCTAACGCATACAAAAAACGCATACCAAAAACTCATACCAAAAACGCATACAAAACGAGTAACAAGTAGTAAAACCCTTTTTAGATTATTATAAATAAACTCAATCCTAGACATGTATTTATAAAAAAACCTACACACTATTTAAACATAGAAACACACCCAAAATCAACCCCAAAATCAACAATTGTATATTTTTTGGGTGTGTTTATAAATGGGTTTTGAGTGAGTGTAATGATGGATTTTGGGTGTGTTTATAAAGTTTTTTGGGTGTTGGGTTTTTTTATAATTTCAGCCCCCATTTTGGGTGTTTTAGTGAAATCCCCAACCCTTTTTTCTTTTCTTTTCTTTTCTTTTCTTTTCTTTTCTTTTCTTTTTCCCCATCTCACACGAGTAATTCATGACGTGGAAGAAAAAGAATAATCAAATCCAACGCCTCGTCCTTGCGTATCTTTGAAAAAGATAATACAACAAGTTAGGCCACAAACACGACGTCGTTTCGAGGTTTCCATTCTGGTTTGTTCTCATGCAGCTTCATTTCCCTATATATATATGCACGCATCTTCCCCCTTTATCTCAAACACCAACAAGCACTCCCTTCTGTTCCTTCTCTGTTCATCTCTCTCTCTCTCTCTCTCTCTCTCTCTCTCTCTCCCAAAAAAAAAAAACAAAATGGGTGAGAAGTTTCCAACCCCAACACTTTTGATAGTCATATTCTTCATTTTGAGCCGTCTGATCTCAACCAAAGGGTACAGTCTTCGTGATGATCCTGAGTCCATTAGATTAGCTTCTAGTGATTATGGCCACATTCTCAGAGAAAACCCAGCAGCTGTTTTGTACCCAACCTCCATTGATGACATTTCAAGCTTGATCAAATTCTCAAACAATATTTCCACTCCTTTCAGCATAGCTGCTAGAGGCCATGGCCATTCCACCATGGGACAAGCCATGGCTCCAAATGGGGTTGTGGTGGACATGATGTCCTTGAAAAATCACCACCCTTCTCATGCCTCTGGGATTATTGTTAACACTTTTAATTTAAGTGTTAATAATTATTATTATTATGCTGATGTGGGAGGTGGTCAGCTTTGGATTGATGTGCTGCATGCCACATTAGAACATGGACTTGCACCGGTCGCGTGGACCGACTACTTGTACTTAACCGTCGGTGGGATCGCGTGGACCGACTACTTGTACTTAACCGTCGGTGGGACCCTCTCCAACGCCGACATCAGCAGCTCGGCGTTCCGGTTTGGTCCTCAGATTAGCAATGTGTATGAAATGGATGTCGTCACCGGTATGATTTTGTCCTCTTTTTTTTTTTTTTCCTCTTTTTGTTTGGTTGCTAATTCCCTTATTAGCATCTCCATATTTTCTTAATATTTTTGTGTCTCAGCATGATGACAACTTTGTAGCATACTAAGATACAAAAAAGTTGTTGAGAAACATAAAATGTACAGTTGTTTCCCAACTCATTTATTCATGTTTGAAGCTTGTTCTTTGGGGGCCCCACACGTTTGGAAAACCCTTTTAGGATAAGTTCACACACCCCACCACCAAGCTGATCATGAATCATGATCATCTTAGTACAGTTAATTAATCAGTGATTAATTAATTAGCAAGTTATCATTCTAATTAATTAGGTTTGTGTTATTTTTCAGGACATGGTGATTTTGTGACTTGCTCCCCACAAAACAACTCTGATCTCTTCTTTGGGGTCCTTGGAGGCTTAGGTCAGTTTGGGATCATAACCAGGGCAAGAATTGCCCTAGAGCCAGCACCAAAAAGGGTACGTGTACGGCTTCAGCAGCCAGCAGACATTCATATAAAATCTTGACTTGGACTTTCTCTTTGGTCATATATATTGTTCCCATTTCAACATAAACAGACAAATCCGAATTTGTTAGGCTGATCGACTCAATTGCACTTTTTCAACTTTGTTTTTTTTCAATTCAAAATGACTTGTCTATGTTGCTTAAACAGGATCACCACAACCATCGCATAAATTATAACCACATTAATCTCTCCTTTTTTGATTCTAAATTTTCCCCTTTTCTGTTGGGTTTGGTGGTGGAATAGAAGCCCGTTAACTCGAGAAATTATACAATACTACGGTAGTATAGTCATGTGGCATATTTTGTACACGTGTTATAATATGAGTGGACAATATGGTTTATTTTCCCCATTTTCAGGGAATAGTATCAATAACTATCCACTTATATTATAACACGTGTACAAGATGTACCACATGACCGTACTAGTGTAGTATTCTATAATTACTCAATTAACCCCATTTCTCCTAACATAAGCTATGATTTTTACATGATTAATTAAATATTAATTATGTCTCTGTCAATTAAATTTGGTGATCAATTTGTTTGTAGGTCAAGTGGGTGCGAATGCTTTACAATGACTTCTCGGCATATGCCAGAGACCAAGAACGTTTAATTTCAGTCAATGGAAGGAAACAAAGCAATGCCCTTGATTACTTAGAAGGTTCACTTCTAATCAACCAGGGTTCCCCGAATAATTGGAGATCCTCCTTCTTCCCACAATCCACTTACTCGAGAATTATTTCTCTTGTAACCAAACATGGCATAATCTATTCCCTGGAAGTTGCCAAATATTATGATCAACACACTGAAACGACAGTGGATAAGGTACAAGCATCCCCATATATGACACCAACATTCTACCTTGCAGTAAATTGATGGTGTCAAATCAACAAGACCCCACAATCTACTTTCAATGAATGTAATATTTGTTTTTTTTTGTTTGGGCGCAGGAACTTGAACTTCTACTCAAAGGATTGAGTTTTCTTCCTGGATTTGTGTTCGAGAAGGATGTCGCCTATGTGGAGTTTCTGAATAGAGTTAAATCTGGAGAGGAAAAGCTTCAGTCACAAGGACAGTGGGATGTTCCTCATCCATGGCTGAATCTCTTTGTTCCAAAAAGTCGCATCTCGGATTTTGATGCAGGTGTGCTTAAGGGCATTGTTCTTAAGCGAAACATTACCACCGCACCAGTCCTCCTTTACCCAATGAACCGGACCAAGTAAGATTATAATTTATACAAACATTATAATAAAAACTATTTCAGACTAACTACATGTCTTAACCGCGCGTTTTACTTATATCGCCTCTAATAAAGATTACACTCACTTATCTTTTATTAAAGAAGTGTCACCAAAATAACTAGTATATAAATGTGGTACAAATAGCAAGTCGAGTTCTCTTCGTATTATTTTGGAACTCGAATTAATAAGCTTTGGAAACTAAATGCAGATGGGATGATCGGATGTCAGCGGTTGTGCCGGAAGAAGAAGTTTTCTACACCGTGGGATTTTTGCATTCAAGTGGGTTTGATGAGTGGGAGGCATTTGAGGAGCAAAACAAAGAGATACTAAAATTTTGTGCTAGTGTTGGTATAGAGGTTAAGCAGTATCTTCCCTACTACAAAACACAACAAGGTTGGATGAACCACTTTGGCTCGAAATGGAAAACCTTCCAGAAGAGGAAAGCTTTGTTCGACCCCAAGAAAATACTTTCACCAGGACAAAGAATTTTCAACAAATAACATATAATAATTCGGACTGAGGCATTAATAATTTAATTTAATTTAGTACGTTTAGAAAGCTAGTATTAGTTTAAATTAATTAGAATTTATATATAAGTTTACCAATAATTATGTGGAAGAAGAATTGTAAGGTACCTTTGGGCGAGAAGATTAGCATTGTAAAATATTATTTGGACTTTTAAATTAGTATATTTCAGATATTTTGTTTTTTTTTTCTCCTTTTGTTGTATTATATTGTCATCAAATCAAGGACATGAAGTTGGTGACTGCCCTTGTGCGCCCGGTACACTTCAGTAGTAGTACCATGTGAGATTCCTGCCACCGTGCCACGTATGCCATATAGAAAAAAGTTAAAAACAGGTTGGATTTGGAAACCCTCTTTTAACATCTTCTTGTGAATAGTATAGAGGTTAAAATAGAAGAGGATTATCGGCTTATTCAAATTAATGGCCAAGTAATGGAAAAAAGGACAGTGCTTAATTTCAACTTGCCGACCCAAATATGGGACCATTTTTAGGGTTTGTTTGAGAGTGATTCTTGGAAGGCCATAATTACTTATAGGACGAAACATCTCTCATGTGCTATTCCGTCTTATTACTTTCAGTGATTTTTAGTGATTAAGAGAAAAACACCTCTCATGTGCTTCGCCATAAAATCACTTAAAAGTAATTCTCCATAAAAGTGATTATTGGCTTATCCAGAATCACTCTCAAATGAGCCTATCGATCTTCTCAATTCCGTGCAAAATCAATTCATGGCCAACAACAACAAAAATTCATCCTTCAAATTCTTAAATGTGACCAACCAACGAACCTACAAGAGTGATTTTACACAAGAAATTTCTCCATCCAAAATTACACAAATGTTGGCTTAGAATTATATGAAGAAATAAATATTTAGTATACATATATGTTGGTGTTAGTATCCCATTTATCATGCAAGGCACAAGGACAGCTAGATTTCGTGAATAAATAAAGTGCAAATTGGAATGTTTCCAACTCTCATCGCAGCCCTGAGGCAAAACATGAGACATTGGAAAGTAATTAGAATGAGTATGTTTAGTTTTCCCACTTACTATTAAATTTCCCAAACAGAAGAAAAGCAGATGAGCCGGGTATATTATTAGATATTGTCAGCATAAAGGCATGAAATAATATCCAATAAAAGTTCCCGTTTTCGGAAAGAAGACACCGTCCTTCACCTTTGCAGCTTGCACTCGTGCCCTCCAATTTGCACTTTCTCACGTAAGACAAGCTTGGATAAAGCCTCTAACTTTTCCCTTTTGGTTAAGCAAAACACTGTGTTAGATGCCCGGTCGGTTATATAATAATAGAATAAGTGGATTTAATTATTCTAATTCAACGAGTTCAACATACGATATATATACAACCGACACATACAATAATTCGTTTACAATAGTTGTTATTTTCAGTGGACAACATAAATGCTTTATCTAGAATCAATTAAATGTGGGGTTTTAGAGAGTTTGAGATTCTTAAATAATAATTTGTTTAATTACCGTTGTTATTTTTAATGGATATCATATATGCTTCATCTAAGAACATCTATAATCACATATTTTAAAAGGTGGATATATATGGAGCATGATTGGAGTTGTGTTTTTTCATTTCATTCTTAAATTTTATCTAAAGAAGTAATTTAGGGAAGGAATACGAGTTTTAGAGTTCGAGCTTCAAAATTTACAAACTAGGATATCCCATTTTCAAATAGCCACTAGTTGCTACCTTACTTTGTATATATATATATATATGTGTCATTGTAGCAAAGTGACAAAAACCCGACATAATTATCATGTTTACTAAAATTAAGGGGTAGTTTTTCTACTTTGTGGTGGCCTCAGAATGAGCTAAGTGCACGCACATAATATTAATTTATATTCTAGAACTTGGCACTGTACTAGGTCATGTCCGACTCAATTGCAGCTTGCAGGCAACTAGGAGACATGAAAAGGGCCGCCATCAACGTATGTGTTGTGTACAACTGCTGTCTTCGTTGATTTTTGCTAGACAAGATCCAGACATTCACACTGTGTAAATTATTATGATCTTCAAAAAGTGAAGGAAAAAAAATAAAGAAAGCTTTTATTAATTTATATATATATATATATATATAAGGCTTTAGTCACATGATGACTGCCCCCGATGGCTTCGCAGCAGCTGCGCTAAAAATAATATAAAAAACCATCTCATCAAAATATGATAACACCAAAGGCTCCACTAATGAAACCAAACAACTATACTACCTAAAGTGAGTTAGGGGTAGTGTATTCGTCCTCTTGCTCTCGAGTTCGAGTTTTCTTTCCGCAAATTAGAGTAGTTGAGAGGAAATAAAAAGCCCTATACTAAATGTTGTTGAAAATTTTTAATGGGCTCAGAAATAGGTTCGAGTTCAGTCCAAATTATTCTAGCCCATCAACAAATCCAATTTGAAATATGGAGCCTGGGCTTTTGCTTGAAAACTCACCAACCATGGTTTTGAGCCCAAAGTGGTATCCTCGGTCTGGTCTGGTATTTAGAAGGCTAAGATATTCAACTTCTCACTACAATGGCGCTGCCACTGTTTTCAGTGAACCCATCTACTACCTGTTCCTCTACTTGCAGTTTCCATGCACCTCATCCTCGGTGCTTTCTTCTTCTACACCATCAAACCCATTCTTTCAAAAGTTGCAGAGCTCTCAGGATCAGAGTTTCGTGTAAGACTGTTCAAGTTGATACCCAGGAGCAGCCCCAGAGAATCAAAGTAGCTTTTGAGGCCACAAGGAAGAAGAGGAAGCCCAAGCCAAGCTTCTTCGAGCAAATTCAGGACAAATGGTCAATGAAAGTCAATTCCCCGAGAGACAAATTTCCCTGGCAAAAACAGAATGAACTAGTACAAGAAGAAAAAGAGGAGGTGGAGGAGGAGGAGGAAGAAGAAGAAGAAGAAGAGGTGTTTGAGCCTAAAATAAGCAAACAAGAGGAAGGTCAGAAATATTCTGGGGTACGTGTGGCTGAACCAGTGAATCAGAAAGTGAGTTTTTCTTTGCCAAACCGTATTGTTTATGCTCCTTGGGCTCATGGAAGCAAACGCATTACGCCCCAAGTTGATTCTGAGCCTGAAACCTCACAACACAGTGGTGCACAAGGCAAAAATCTTGATGGGTTTGCTGGGCATTCTGAGATTGATACTACAAGTGGTGCCGTTAAAAAAGAGAAAAGCTTTGAGCGACGATTTGATAGTAATAGAAAATTGGAGAGAGAAAGGGTTGGGGAAATTGGTATAATTTCGATTGGGGTTTCGAAAAAAGAGGAGAAAATGATCTCAAAGGGCTTAAATGGCGTTTCTTTGGATGAAACACTATCTGGGGATGGTGAAAATGATGAAAAGGTTGAAAATTTTGTGTATTCTGGCAGTGGTTCTATTCGGTTGCCTTGGAAGAGAGAGAGTGAATTGAGTTCTGAGGAAGGTGATAAGACAAGGAAAAGGAGGAGCAACACGGAATTGGCGGAGCGAATGCTTCCGGATCATGAGTTGCGGAGGCTGAGGAATGTTTCTCTGAGAATGCTGGAGAGGATAAAAGTTGGAGTTACTGGTATCACACAGGCATTGGTGAATACTATACATGAGAAGTGGAAGATAGATGAAGTGGTCAAGTTGAAGTTTGAAGAGCCATTCTCACTTAACATGAAAAGGACCCATGAAATTTTAGAGGTTAGTGTTGGTACATTGTTTGCTCTGTTTGTTATCTCTTTCCTCTCAATGTGTAGAATTATTCAATCAATTTTGAGATTTCGATGATTAAGTGATGCTTAACTGACATGAATTGTCAAAATTATGTTGAAATGGAGATGCACTTACGATATTTGTTAGGCATATGCTCTCTCTTTGTATATTAAGATGTTTGCAAGAATTGAGGCCGCTAGCAACTTATTTGGGTTATCTTTTGTTCTCTGCCAGAGTAAAACTGGAGGTTTGGTTATATGGAGATCAGGCAGTTCAGTAGTGTTATACAGGGGAATGACATATAATCTTCCGTGTGTACAAACATATGCCAAACAGAGTCAGACTAATTCACATATGTTGCAACACTCAGAAAAAGCTACCAGTGATAGCATGCACAATGTAGGTGTGAAAGATGTGTCTAGGACTACAGATTTTCCAAGTCTCGAGTCCGCAGAGTATTTGAAGGATTTATCTCAACGAGAACTAATGGCCTTGAATGATCTAAACCATTTGTTAGATGAGTTGGGTCCACGGTTTAAGGATTGGATAGGCCGTGAGCCATTGCCTGTGGATGCTGACTTGCTTCCTTCCGTGGTTCCTGGATATAAAACTCCCTTCAGACTTCTCCCTTATGGGTTTAGACCTTGTCTAAGAGACAAGGACATGACAAAATACCGTAGGCTTGCTAGAACTGTACCTCCACACTTTGCTCTAGGTATGTAAGACCTACTGCATATGATTGTATTGAATTACGAAATCTTGTTTTCTTCACATATTTTGTGTATGATAAATTGTCATAGGAAGGAATAGAGAACTGCAAGGTCTGGCTAATGCTATGATGAAGCTTTGGGAGAAGAGTGCTATTGCAAAGATAGCCATCAAACGTGGAGTACAGAACACATGTAATGAAAGGATGGCAGAAGAACTAAAGGTGAGACATAATGTCCATCTACTTCTTGAATATCAAGACGATTGCATATTTAGTTACACAACCATACATCTTGAATGTACATTTCATGCTTTGTTTCCAGCTTTTGGAGGCTGTTGACCTCACTTCCTTTTCTAGCAGCTGCTCTAATTCCATCTACCCTCTGAGTTATGGATTCTGAATACCCATTTTTCTTATCATTTCTATTGCTGATGAGTGTTGCATTTTATATGTGCAGAGATTGACAGGGGGTACACTTCTCTCTAGAAACAAAGATTTCATCGTTTTTTACAGGGGTAATGACTACTTGCCATCTGTTGTCACGGGGGTATTAGAAGAGAGGAGAAAATTAAGAGATCTCCAACAAGATGAGGAAGAACAAGCACGACAAATGGCCTCAGACTATGTTGTGTCAAACTCCGAAGCTTCTAAAGGCCAATTGGTTGCTGGAACCCTTGCAGAAACCATGGCAGCAACCACCCACTGGAGAAACCAACTGACCATTGATAAAGTCGAAAAAATGAGAAGAGATTCAACTTTTGCTAGACATGCATCTCTAGTCAGACACCTCGAGAAGAAACTGGCTCTTGTAAGTCAAAAATGCAATATGTCTAAGTGTTGTACATCAAAAATCTGGTGCGCCAGAAAAACTCTCTTTTAGGAATATCAAAATTTTTACATATTTCTAACCCTGGATGAACCTAGGCAAAAGGGAAGCTCAGAAAGGCTGAGAAGGCTTTAGCAAGGGTGCAGGAAAGTTTGGAACCATCAGATCTCCCAGATGATTTGGAAACCTTAACTGATGAGGATAGGTTCTTGTTCCGTAAGATTGGTCTCAGTATGAAACCCTTCCTGCTTCTAGGTAAGAACTACTTCTACTTTGGATTTAATGAAGTCATAGGGGAGAGTTAAATGCTTGAGTTATTTCTATTTCAGGGAGGCGAGAGGTTTACTCTGGTACCATAGAGAACATGCACTTGCATTGGAAGCATAAGGAGTTGGTGAAGATAATCGTGAGAGGAAAAAGTTTTGAGCAAGTCAAGCACATCGCGATTTCTTTGGAAGCAGAGAGTGGTGGGGTGCTAGTATCTCTAGATAAAACTACCAAAGGCTATGCAATTATTCTCTATCGTGGAAAGAACTATCAATGCCCTCTTCCATTAAGGCCTAGGAATTTATTGACAAGAAGGCAGGCATTGGCTCGGTCAGTTGAACTACAGAGACGCGAGGTGACATTATAATTAATGGTGTTTGACATTTTTTATATATTAATGATGGCTATTATTTCATTTGTAATAGATTTCCTATCTTTTGCAGGCATTGAAGCATCATATTTCAGACTTACAGGAGAAAGTTGGGCTGTTGAAATCTGAACTAGTATGATATCCATTGCTTTGTAGTAATTTTGATGTGGTGGTGACTTCATTTGCTTTTCAGTAATGTATATTCTTCTGCTGTTAATTTCAGGAGGAAATGGGGAATGGGACAATGGTTGATGATGGAAGAACCTTGCATTCAACAGGAGATGATCCTTTTATCCCCAGTGATGACAGCGAAGAGGTAAATAATTACCCACTATCTCACTTTGAGTTAGTACAACATGCCTCTTATTATGTCAAAGTGACACTTTAGGTTGCCAAGAACTGAGATGCTTCAAAATTTTCTTGAACCAGGATGAAGGGGAAGAGGCATATCTTGAAGTTTATGATAGTGGCAATGAGGATAACAATAATGAACATGAGATTGTTGGATCTGTTTAGTTAATTCCACAACTGATTGTTACTTCATAGTTGATTGATCTGCAAAGGAGATGTATGCTGAAGGTATCAGTGGCTTCTCATACTCAGAATCTCCTATAAGATATCTGCAGAGATCTAAACATTAGTTGGGATGAACCGGAGGGTACAGCCAGATCTAAATGTTGGTTAGGTTAAACCGGAAACCCCTCCTGTAAGTTTCATTTATGATCCCTGTAGACCAGTACGTGCAAGCTAGGGAAGTCGTTCAACTTCAAACCAGTTTAGCAATTCAAGCAGCTGATTGATACTTCAGGGGTGAAGATTGCAGATGTCTGAGAAGATAGCTCCGATCAGCATTGTCTAAGTAATCTTAGTAGTTTTAAAGGCATGTACATGTGTATTAAGTTTATTGTAAATACATGATTTGTTAAACTTTCATTTATTAATTATACGTTCGTCTCTTTATAAGTGCCAAAATTTTACATACCATGATGTTTCCTGGTTACTCTTTTTTGAAGCAAATAATTTTACAGTTTTGATGTTACTATCATCCTACGTCTGTCAACTTAGCTACCAAACTTGTGGCAGATATGTATTCTGCTGGATAATAGGCTTCCATCAAACAATACATTTGCACATAAAGTCTGGTTTAATCATATTGATATTACAAGTAGATAAGACATTTCTACACCTTCCTTAGCCACCTTATTTCAGGAGTTAACTTCGTGACAACATCATCCTCGTTACATTCAATCATGTTCTTGTATAAATCATCGTCATCTAAGTGGTTTGTACGACAAATGCATCTTATTTGAGTAAATGCCAGGAAACAACTCAGTTGGAAGTAGCCTTGTCCTGTTGCAGAGCTGCCTTTATGAAGTCCAAAACAACTGATACTAACTCAGCCTGATGTGAGGTGTAACAATGATCAGCCCCTTCTATAACATGTAATTTGTGGTTTGGTATTATCTTCGAAAACTCTAATGCATCTTCAACAGGGATGGTCTCATCAGCAGAACCATGGACTGTCAAGACCCTGTATATACAGAATTGCCCATAAACTTGGTTATGCAGAAAATTCAAGGAAAAAGCCAGAAAGATAAATATAAAAAATCAACCATAAAACAATGAAGACAAAATTAACTAAAGTTTGCTTACCGGCATTCTTTGTCAATCTGAAGGCATGCTTCATGCATATCAGTACTCAGGCGATCCATCAAACTTTCCTCGGTCACACGATAACTAACATCTCCTACAAGCATGGCATCCCTTAACTGTGTTAAAGGCCCTTACACATTGTTTTTGTGTGTTTCTTTGTGTTGTGTGTGAGTGCGTGTCACTGAAAGCATCCAATCTTCTGGCATCTATTCAAAATTTGACCACAACTCACTACTATAATAATCAATATCATCTCTAAATTTCTTAGTTGCAGATAATTCTTTAAAATTCAAAGAAAAAAGAAGGGAGAAAACAGGTAAGTTGGTCCTTCATCATAAATTACAGTGGAACCACTGTAATTTATGCTCAAGAAAACAGGTTCAGCATGAACTCACAAATGAATTTTGTAATTCACCACACATGATAAGAATTAGGAAATTACCTGTCTTATTCTTAACATCAAGATATCCTTCCTTCTTGATTGTTTCCACAAAGTCTTTCCCTAAGCGTTCTTCCATACCTCTCTTGAGATCATAACGTCCAGAAACATTGACAACCGTGCGAATGCCATGATACTTAGAAGCATACAGAAGCACCACATCACCACCTGTAGTAACAATTTTCAGCAATAATTTTGGTGCAAAATACAAAACTACTCTGTTTTCAATATGGTTTTGCCCAATATCAGCAGTTATAGATTTATCAACAATAACTTGGCTAACAGCTAAGCTGCTAAGATCATGTTGACCTAAAGTTAACTTTGGTTCCAGATATTGCCTCATTCAAAACTTTCATCAATGACTAACACATGTAATAAGAGAGTAACATTAAAATAAGTCTCATTCAAAAGTTTCATGAATGATAATTTATAATAGCATTTCTTCCTCTATTTTATTAGAGTAAAATCTCACATATATGCAAAACATCCAACGCACCTTTACTGTGCCCAAGAATTGTACTTGCTGCACGGTTTGCCCCAGAGAAGTGTTGGATCACAGCATGCAAGTCATCAGCCTCGCTCCGATAGTTACCATACTGAAAGCTACCTTCACTCTCCCTGACAATCAAAATACCATCAATGTAATTTTTAGATCTCAAACTCCAAGACTTCCATAACACGATGGCGGTTACGAACAGCATGACAGAGACAGTGACACACTCACGACTATGCAACTAAAGCACAGCTGAACTCTTCACAAAACCCATCAACTAAAAGAATTTCAAATCCTGTAATACCACAGCCTTACCCATTTCCAGCAAAGTCGAAACGGAAGGCACTAATTCCTTCATTTTCCAATGCAATGGCAAGGTTTGTAACAGTAGTGGTTTCCTGGAAATCAAGAGACATAGGCTGTAAAACTTTTCCCACAATGAAACCAACTGAGCATATAATTTTCCATAATGAAATGATACAGAAAATAGCTTAAATTTAAAGCATCCTAATCAAGCTGGAATTTCAGACCAAAAAACAAAAAAATAAATCTGGAATTGAACTTTAAAAAGAAGGGAAAAAGAAAAAAAGCAAAGTCAACACTACATATGTTACAAAAGCCAACCTTGGTGGATCGAAAACCATGACATAAGATTACAATCTCCACAGAACCAGTTTCATGTAACAGGCCCACGAGTTTTTCACCATGTTTGTTGGGTACAATGATTTTCTGTTGATGACCCACTGAAACAATGCAATTCACAAAGCAAACACTAAATTTCTTAGAAAGTCGATACCTTGCTGAATGTTCTTGGCACGAAAATAAAAATTCTTACCTGGGTTGTGTGCAGATTGTGCCATTTTCAAGATTCGTTTTGGACTGCGATTTTGGTAAAGAGTAAATTTTGGTGAAGGGAAGCTTATGGGAGTGAAAGAACTTGAGAGCAGCATAGCATTAATGGAAACTATAAACAGAGTAACTATGAATCTTCAAGGCAATGGAAGTTACCTTCAGCCTTTGCTTGCTGCTCGTTTGGTCTGCAATGCAAATTTACAGAGCTCGGGTGAATTTGGAATTGGAGTATCGGACCACTCAGACTCGGTCACTTTTACTTGCCAACAAAATAATATTGGGTTTTTTCTGGTTTTGGTCTGCAACAATATCTTTTTTACTGTTGAATCTCTGATATTTATGGTATTTGCAAAACTGTCGACTCTACCTGTTTTTTGTGTGCTCATTTAAGACATTTTCCACAATTTCCTTGGTCACCTTAATTCGAGAGTCAACTTTATGTGAAAATCTTCCTCGTTACATTCAATCATGTTCTTGCCTAATCTTCATCAAATTTGGTGATTAAATGCAGAATAAACTTATAGCATTTTGAGTTCATTAAGGTAGAAAGTCCCAAATTACTGCTTCACATTTTGAGTTGAAACCATGACTGAATTTTGAAAATAACACCTCAGATCATGAGGCAAATGGTTCACAATTACATCACGGAATTGTTCATTGTTTCATGCAACAGATGATAGCAAAGACATTTGGCAAAGGAAAAGGTTAAACCATCGAACAGTTTTCTCAGAATTCACCATGGCAAAGCATATGAATTTATGTATATGTATCCAACTACATCAAGGTAAGGAACCACCCAACCGACACACCAACGGGTAAAACACTTCAGAAATTTATTATGCTGATTGGCATGGAGGATCTATTTGGAAGCAGCCTTGTCCTGCTGCAGAGCTGCCTTTATGAAGTCCAAAAAACAATGATCAGCTCCTTCTATTTTTTAATTTTGCACTATGTATGCTGGTGCCAATAGTTAATTGTTGCGAACGCCATGATCAGCTACTGCAAGCAATAATGTGAAAATGTGAATCACATGCCTCAAGTTGTTCAACAAACGATAGTTGATATTAAAAAACTGAAAGCAGAGCTGTCTCAAGAAGAGTATAATAAGTTAATCAGATCACTTAATATATAATATGATACGAGGTTAAATTACAAATTTCTTTTGGCTTAACAATTGGTGGTGTTGCCATCCGTTGCCTAACGAGTTGTATCAAAACGTCAGAATTCTTTCATGTAGGTGAAGACGTAGCGTAGGAGCTATCTATTCTGCTGGATAATAAAGCTTCAACATCAAATGAGTCTGGTTTGACATTATAAGTAGATGAAGAGATTTCCACAACTTTTGGTGAAACTGATGATGAATTTCATACTTTGCAGTAAAACTGCAGTCTGCAGCCAGAGATGAATTTAGTGCAAGTAATTAGAGGCTTCTGCGAATTCTCATTGCTAGCTACACAAACTTCATATAAATGCGAACAAGTACAACATTGGTTTTATTTTGAACATACAACAAATGAAATCAGCAGAGACTAAAACAACAATTCCAATTCACACAGGACATGATCATGTGTCTAGGAACATTACAATGACATTGACGAAAGTGCAAATAATCTTGCCTAACTGACTAGTAGTAAGTTAGAAGGGAATACAAGGTTTGCAAGAAGGTAAAACCTAGGATCAAGAGCGCGGCAGAAAGCGAAAAGATTGACCATGGATTGCTGAAATAATCACGTCTGAGAATTGTTTGCCATCTGTGCCAGCGATCCTGATAATATGCATTCACATTCTTGGTGAGTTCCGCGTAACAGAAATAGCCAACTACAGTGTCACTGTAAAGCCTATTGAAGAGACAGGCTATGTCCTCCTTGCTCAATTGTGTAACTATAATTTCTTTCTGAATGAGAAAGTCCGCATCTGTGCTAGTGTTAATCAAGTTATCCAAGATGACAGCGTAAGAGGTAATTTTACAATATTTGATGCTTGGCGTCTAGGAACATTACAATGACATTGACGAAAGTGCAAATAATCTTGCCTGACTAGTAGTAAGTCAGAAGGGAATACAAGGTTTGCAAGAAGGTAAAACCTAGGATCAAGAGCGCAGCAATGAGCGAAAAGATTGACCATGGATTGCTGAAATAATCACGTCTGAGAATTGTTTGCCATCTGTGCCAGCGATCCTGATAATATTGTCTAGGAACATTACAATGACATTGACGAAAGTGCAAATAATCTTGCCTAACTGACTAGTAGTAAGTTAGAAGGGAATACAAGGTTTGCAAGAAGGTAAAACCTAGGATCAAGAGCGCGGCAGAAAGCGAAAAGATTGACCATGGATTGCTGAAATAATCACGTCTGAGAATTGTTTGCCATCTGTGCCAGCGATCCTGATAATATGCATTCACATTCTTGGTGAGTTCCACGTAACAGAAATAGCCAACTACAGTGTCACTATAAAGCCTATTGAAGAGACAGGCTATGTCCTCCTTGCTCAATAGTGTATGTATAATTTCTTTCTGAATGAGAAAGTCCGCATCTGTGCTAGTGTTAATAAGGTTATCCAAGATGGCAGCGTAAGAGGTAATGTTACAACAGTGGATGCTTGAATTCCCCGATTCATAGGCGATGAGGTTTCTGAAGAGAGACTCTGCATTTTCTTCAATATCTATTGGTGGGATTTCCATAACTCCATTTTCGAAGGTTATGTCGAGCATGTTGTCCCAAGTATCACTTCTAAGTTTAAATTCGACACCAGCTTGTAGAAGTTCTGTGACAGAAGGAATCGGTTCCCAATAACTATGAGTTGCTTCTTGAGGGTACGAGGCAAGTAAAGAGTTTCTTATGCCATCAAGTAAATGCTTAGTTTCCAATGGTCTGTCGGCGTGTGGATCCTGGCAGAATGCAGACACCTCAAAGAATTTCAGAGCAAGCAGGAGTAGAGCTTCGGATTCTGGTTTATCTTTTTCCTTTGTGAGGTTAAATAAACAGTCAACGACTTTCCAAGGAAGCTGGTTTTCAAGTAGAAACAAGTCTTTTCTAAGTGCCAACGGCATCCATGACGTATTAAACACAGGATCATCATCGTCTTGCACCTCACTTGCAGTCTTGCGGAAGAGCTCCACGATAAAGCAACCATCAACCACCATCATTTCCACAAATTTTTCACTACTCATATGAATTTTTTCGCCATAACAATCATGACAGTCTTGCTCCATACTTTTAATGGCTTCTACCAAGTACTCCAAACTGGTCTCTGAAGTTGGCTTTCGATCAAGGAGGCAATGCAAATACCACAGCTTAATCTCTTGCATCACTTCCACAATTTCTGCTTGCGGGTACGAGGCAAGTAAAGAGTTTCTTATGCCATCAAGTAAATGCTTAGTTTCCAATGGTCTGTCGGCATGTGGATCCTGGTTGAATGCAAACACCTCAAAGAATTTCAGAGCAAGCAGGAGTAGAGCTTCGGATTCTGGTTTATCTTTTTCCTTTGTGTGGTGGAATAAACAGTCAACGACTTTCCAAGGAAGCTGGTTTTCAAGTAGAAACAAGTCTTTTGTAAGTGCCGACCGCATCCATGACGTATTAAACACAGGATCATCATCGTTTATGGGCACCTCTTTTGCTTGCTTGCGGAAGAGCTCCACGATAAAGCAACCATCAACCACCATCATTTCCACAAAATTTTCACTACTCATATGAATTTTTTCGCCATAACAATCACGACAGTCTTGCTCCATACTTTTAATGGCTTCTACCAAGTACTCCAAACTGGTCTCTGAAGTTGGCTTTCGATCAAGGAGGCAATGCAAATACCACAGCTTAAACTCTTGCATCACTTTCAGGTTCTTTTTTCCGTGTTGAAATGGCCCTATTGAAACCAAATTTGGAACAAAAGCTTTTTCGTTATGCCTGCGCAACACGTTAGGGATTCTAAATATGCAACTTCTAGATGTTGATGGAGGATTCTGGGGAAGCTTTCTTTGAATCGAGGATACTATTAATTCCACATCATTTCTATCTTCAGTCAAGGTTGCCATATTCCCATCATTTTCTGCAATCACATGATCATCTTTGTCCTCATCCTTAATTTGCATCACGGAGTGGTCACTGACATTGTTGTTTGCCATCTTGAACTCTTAACTCCTATAAGTTAATCTGTTTTTAATACCTATCAGTTCATCTGTTTTTAATAAAGAGAAATGGATATTGTTACAACCAAATATGTCAATAAAAGTACAAATATTGCAACAATATTTTTAGATGGAATACCTCTAAATCTAATCTGCTTAGCAGAACATATCGAAAATAAAATCTAGTCTGCTTTATGCATACATGTAACACTTGTTTCACACAACTCTGAGGGATTGTTATCTAGAGATAAATTTCATGTTTATAGTATATACGTTACCAGTATCTCTTGCATCACTTTCAGGTTCTTTTTTCCCTGTTGAAATGGCCCTATTGAAACCAAATTTGGAACAAAAGCTTTTTCGTTATGCCTGCGCAACACATTAGGGATTCTAAATATGCAACTTCTAGATGTTGATGGAGGATTCTGGTGAAGCTTTCTTCGAATCGAGGATACTATTAATTCCACATCATTTCTATCTTTAGTCAAGGTTGCCATATTCCCATCATTTTCTGCAATCACATCATCTTTGTCCTCATCCTTAATTTGCATCACGGTGTGGTCACTGACATTGTTGTCCGCCATCTTGAACTCTTTAACTCCTATCAGTTAATCTGTTTTTAATAGAAGAGAAATGGATATTGTTACAACCAATAAAAGTACAAATATTGCAACAAAATTTTTAGATGGAATACCTCTAAATCTAATCTGCTTAGCAGAAAATATCGAAAATAAAATCTAGTCTGCTTTATGCATGCATGTAACACTTGTTTCACACAACTCTGAGGGATTGTTATCTAGAGATAAATTTCATGTTTATAGTATATACGTTACCAGTAAAATCATGCTTATGTCTCCACTGCGTTGTAAAATTTGTGCAGGGTTTGTAGGAGACACTTACCAGGAGGATTGAATTTGATGCAGCTCTCCAATTGCAGGCTCTCTCTCTTTTGCTTGGAAGAAACTTGAGGAACGAGGGATTCGTCGGCCCTCTTCTTATAGCGATTTCTTCTTCTAGGCATCCTCACTGCAAGTCTGCAACAATGTGAAAATGAATTGAATTGCAATATGCATTCCCGTTTACTAGGACTAGTCGAAGTCTTTAAATACGATTATACATCATATGACCAGCTGTTCAACAAACATTTGAAAGCAGAGTATATTTAGTTAAATCACTTAATATATGTAAATCAATGGAAACATTGTCTATCTCCTTGGTATTTTATGTTTGTCTCACCGACTACTTCATCTGGTACAAGGTTAAATTACAATTATTGTGTTGGGTCAACAATTAGTGGTTGGGATGCTTGTCCGTTACCTAGCAAGTTGCATATAATAAGAGTCGGAAGTTTACTGGAACGCATCCAAACCTATGATAGCGCCCTCCAGGATTCTTTCTTAATTTTGATTAACCCAATCAAAACCTTGTCTACTTATCACACATCCATTCTTCCAATACAAAATTTCCATGAGTCATCTCATCCATTAGTCCCCAACGCAATCAACTCCCTATTCATACCCAAGAAATAAATAAAAAAGAAAAGTGATTATTTGATTTGGATACTCTTCAGCATGCATCTTGCTTTCATCTATTAAGTCAATCAATATAGCATGATCCAAAATAATCGAGAATTCCCAAATTTATTCAATTACTTAAGTCAAGTCAATTCACACTCACTTAATTGAATCGTGGAAATTAGTGTCTAACTTTCAATGTCTAGTAGGGGTAGATGATTCGTGGTCTTTTTATGTCATCTGTCTTGTATAAGCAGGGCCGGCGCTGAAATTTTCAAGACGCTGAGATTTTGAGATGTATCTATGTGGTTTTTTATATATATCTCTACATAATATTATAAAATGAGAGATGTATATAAAAGCATTGGAGTACTAAAAAGAACCTGCTTATTTTATATACATCTCTCTATAGGAAACAATGGAAGACCCCACCAAAAAAAAAAAGCATTGAACGTGTATAATTGAAGACAAAAAAAAAAAAAAGCAAAAGGAATGAAATACAATGCTGGGATTCGAACTTGGGAAGGACTTGAATTAAAAACCAGGCCTAACCAACACCGCTGGTGTTACTTTATGTCAATATGTCTTTTATTTTATTTATATAACCGTTGAACATGACCTGACAATGACCCAAAAAAAAGGTAATTTGGGGCCCTTGAGCCAGGGCCTAGGGCTATCGCACTTCCTGCCCTGGCTCAGGGGCGGGCCTGTGTATAAGTATATGGGTCTATTTGGTCTCCTGCCTGAATGTGAATATCTCGAACACATTACAAGGATGATGGAGAAGGATTTGAAAGGAAAGAATCCCATCTCAAGTTGAAAGGAAATGCCAAAATTAACACATGCTCATCTTTTGCAATATCCCATACTCTCAGTCATATCGTTCACTCATAAAGATAATTCACTTCTGAAAAATCTGCTTTTGGTAAAAGTTTGACAAAGACACACATGTCTTTAAGAAACCCAAATTATCAAAGATGTGCTTTTTGTGGATTTAAACAGTCCAAGTTTTCAAAGTCAAGCTAATACTTACACTAGCAATTGGGTAAGAAGGAAAAAAGTTATGAAACAGAGCCATGAAAATTATGTCATCATGTAAAGTTTGCTTAAGAAATATATAAGTCACCACGGAAAGTTTTGGTTAATGGGGCATTTTTTCCTTAATAATGGAATTTTCAATTACAATGCAATATTGACGATACTTAGGCCTAGTTTGGGATTGCTATCACTTTTAAAAAAAGTTGCTTCTGCTGTGCTTTGAAAATAATTAGCTGTAAAGTAAAGAAGCTCCATGTTTGGTAAACAATATTGTCAATTGAAAAAAAGTGGTAGAGGCTATAAATTTTACATTAAATTAACCTTACCCACTAGATAAGTGAAGTGGTTTGATAATGTTTTTTGTATAAGTTTATTCTCACAAATTATTTATGCACAAAATTGACTTGAGATGAAGTAGAATCACCATCTCAAGTCAAGTGAAGTAGAGTCAAGACTTGCATTCTTAAATACCAATCAAGTCATTCTTAAATAGTTTGGTGCATGTTGGAAGGCAAATCACCATCTCAAGTCTAAGTCAATAGTTGTGGGGGAAGAAAAATAAGAAATTTTGGGGCAAAATTCGAGTAGGTACTATATAGCACACTCTCAAAATAATAATTTGAAACTCATTTGTCAAGAATTTGCTGCCATTAATGCATCATTGAAAAAGTTGGGTTCAATTTAGCACACTCTCAAAAAATTTCTCCAATATAAGAATAGAAATTATCGAAATATGGTGCTCGTCCAGTAATGTATTTAGAAATCATTTTCATAAAATGTTTTTATGAAATGAAACAAAGAAAACAAATTAATTTCCCAATTCAATGAAGTTTCTATGCAGAAACACACAAAAAAAATGAAAATGAAAATGCGATGTTGTTATGTGAATTCCACAACATTAATTTTACATTAATTTTGACATGTGATATTTTACTATGCTTTTATGGTTTTGTCTTGTATGAGAACATTTTGCTCTGTTTTAGCTTACACCGAGCTTCAACTACATGCATACTATTCTTCGTAACGACTTTTTTCCCCGTGTATATATTTGATGCAAGCTTGTATATGGAGACGCGCAGAGACAACCATATATCAATAATTAAACCCTAAACAATTGAATCGTGTTGATCTTGCATTTGAATCTATTAACATGCAAGGCCACGGAAGGTACTTGAAACTCTTTCTTGCATTTGTGCTGCTTTTGCTACAGTGCGCCTAAGGAGGAGAGGTGGACCACAGTCAGAGGGATACTAATGTGTGGAGAGGCTAGTGTGACCAGAAGGTGCATAGAGAGGGAAAGGCAAGCACTTCTTGCATTCTAACGTGGCCTGGTGGATAGGTCCGATCTCCTCTCTTCATGCGGTTCAGAAGCCCAAAAACAAGATTGTTGCAGCTGGGTGGGAGTCTCTTGTAGCAACCAGACGGGCCATGTTATTCAAGTTGATCTCGGACCCCATTTATTATACGAAGCTTACTGGAAACATGGAGGAGTTTCACCATTTACATATTATTTGCAAGGTAAGATGATTTCTCCTAAACTGATTGAGTTGCACCATTTACAACATTTGGACCTTAATGGGATTAATTTCATTAGGAGCCAATTTCCAGATTTCATTGGTTCTCTAACCAATTTAAGATACCTTTATCTATCTTATACTCAATTTGGAGGAAAGTTTCCAAGTCAGGTCGGAAATCTTACGAACTTGGTGTATATGGACTTGAGTGCTAATTACTTTACAAATGTAGAAAATCTGAATTGGCTTCCTCTTCTTTCGTCATTGAGATATTTGGAGTTGAATTTCGCGAATCTCAGCAATGTTTTCGATTGGCCAGAAGCTGTTAATAAGCTTCCTGAACTAACAACCTTGTCACTAGAGGAGTGTGATCTTCCTTCTCCATTTCTTTCCACTCTTTCTTACATAAACTCTTCTAAATCTCTTGCTATCGTTAACCTTTAATCCAACCATTCGAGTACTTCTTCAATATTTCTATGGTTGTCCAACTATAATACCAGCCTTGTTGATCTTGACCTCTCTTGGAACCTTCTAGCCGGTTCAATTCCTGATGTTTTTG